TATGAACAGATTTAAAAGAGGGATTGCATCCCCAAAATGATAATAAAAATTCAAGTTGGTATAACTTCTGTTCTTGTTTACATAGACAATAACATGATACGAATTCAAATTGTTGGTGTAAAAAAGATCCCAAAATGTAAAAACTGAGCCTGAAATATGTTAGAGGTTTATATATCTTAAAATAGGTAAAGGAAGTTATTTTATTTTTAATTTCTTTAGTTATCTTTATGATTTATATGTGGAACTTTTAAAATATGTTAGGTATTTCAAATCTGTTTTACAAACTGAATCTTGGTTAATGATTTCAGAAAAAAACAGACTCAGTCTTCAGCTTAGACTTCCTTAGATAGTCATGCATCAGGCTTTATGTCATTTATACCTTATTCCATTAGTCTGTGCTTGGAACATTCCTTTCCTGCACTCTGCCGTCCTAAGTGCTTATGGAATTTGAAGTATTTCACAGTAACCTTCACTTGGTGAGCTATTTGGAGTAAGCACATTCTCTATAGTGGGTCTAGCATTACTTTGTGTGGGATTGGGGCAGATTATACATACCTTTTTCACCTTTTCCATTTAAGGAAATTGAAAGTTTTGGAACAATGCTAAGAACACCAGCCCCACCGAGGTAGTAGCTTTACTCCTTTTGATTGTATGTGGTATTAGTGTTAGGGTTGTAGAAAGTGCATGTATGCCCAAGTCCTTTTCCCCACAGATGTTATGAAGAATTGGATTTCATTTATATATATATAATTTTCTTTAAAATTAAAGTTTTAAACCTATTTAAAGTTTTTTTTTTTTTTAGTTGTAGAGGGACACAATACTTTTATTTTGTTTATTTATTTTAGTTGTTAATGGACCTTTAGTTTACTAATATATTTATATGTGATGCTGAGAATTGAACCCAGTGCTTCACACATGCTAGGCAAGTGCTCTATCACTGAGCCACAACTCCAGCCCCTTGTTTATTTATTTTTATGTGGTGCTGAGGATTGAACCCAGGGCCTCACATGTGTGAGGCAAGTGCTCCACCCCTGAGCCTCAACCCCAGGCCCCTTAAAAACTATATATTATATATCAAGAAAATAATATATACAAAATCTTTCACTTGCAGGGCTGGATGCAGTGGTAGAGTACTTGCCTAGTATGCATGAGGCCCTGAGTTTGGTTCCCAGCACTGCATAAAAACAAACAAAATTGTTCAGTCATTTTAACTTTTTACTTAATTATAATCTTTCACTTATTCTGTCAGTATTTGCTAAGTCTGTTTTAAGAACTAAGTATAGTTCTAGGAATTGAGCAATGAAAATTATAGATACAGTTCCTGCTCTCATGGGACTTGCAATCTTTAAGGGTCTAGCTTTCTACGGTAATGAGAGACAAGATGAGTTTGGAGGAATACCTACATTGGACTTGGTAAAGTCAAATCTTCTTGAAACAGGTGATACCTAAATTGGGATCGGAGGATAAAGGAGAAAGGAAAATCTAAACCAGGTGATAGGACACAGAATGTTTTCATAAAGAAGTATTTCATATTTCATATGTTAGGACTGGGTTTGTGGCTCAGTGGTAGAGCATTTGCCTATCATGTGTGAGGCCCTGGGTTCAATCCTCAGCACCACATATGAATAAACAAATAAAGTGAAAAAAATCCATTGGCAACTAAAAATATTGGAGGAGGAGGAGGAGAAAAAGAAAAGAAAAGAAAAGAAGAAGGAAGGAAGAAGGAAGAAGAGGAGGAGGGAGAATGATGTTCAAGGCTTGAAGAGAACAGTTAGGGCTGGGGATGTAGCTGTTGGTAGAGCGCTTGCCTAGCACATTCAGTCCCCAGTACCACCAAAAGGAGAATAACAAACAACAAAAAAAGAGAACAAAATTCAGTATGGTTGGAGTAGAAAGAACTAGAAGGGTGAGTTGGAAATGGGACTGCATAGAGGTAGGCAAAGTTCAGTCATATTATGGAGTTTGGGAAGTTTTTAAGATAAATTAGGAAACAACCATTATAGCCATGGTGAGTGATTGTGGCTTGCATTAGATTATTGAGAGGAAGAAAAGTGGTCGAGATCTAGAGATAGAGGTAGGATGCACAGGGTGATAATTAAATGCTTATAAGAATCATAGAAAAGAGTCAGGGCTCCTGATAGGGAGCTGGGGATGTAGTTCAGTGGTTGGGTGCTTGCCTAACATGTATAAGACCCTTGGGTTTAAGCCCCAGCACTATAAGAATAAGAAAAATGGCTCCTAACTTGGATATTCTCTATACTTCATAATTTTGAGTTCAAGATTGTGTGTTTGATTATGTTATAGATATGGGGTTCATAAGTCTTATTTTCCAATTTGACCCCAAAATGTACAGTATTAGCAACTAATTTTGTTTCAGGTGAACCAGGGAGGATACTAATATTCGAGTGTCACTTTTCAGTCCTACAGTCATTATGCAAAAGGTAAAAGAGTTAATCTTTGCTTTTTGATACTATAAATTTATTCTTTCATCTTTCCCTTACAGTACTATCTCTATAGCTCCTGATATAAATTTCTATCTCCTATACTTTATTTTAGGTAAATGTTTTATTTATTAAGTGGACTGTATTTTAGTGGGGGGGAGTTGGGCTAGCATTAGTTCAAAATGTTCATAGTGGATGAAATCTCTTGGGTGTAAGCCAGGTGCTTTAGTTAATAAGCTACATTTTGGTTGTTCCAAACACACTTTCCAGTATGTTTACCTTGTTACGACTTGTCTCTTCTTATATATTTGATTTAATAGATTATTTATAGGGTTGTGTGAAAGTATATTTGAAGAGTGTGAGTGGGCATCAACATTGTGATATAAGAAGGAACGGAGGGCTGGGGTTATGGCTCAGTGGTAGAGTGCTCGCCTCGCACGTGCAAGGCCCTGGGTTCAATCCTTAGCACCACATATAAATAAGTAAAATAAAGTTATTGTGTCCAACTACAACTACAAAAAATAAATTTTTTTTTTTTTTAAAGAAAGAACTAAGGCCTAGAAACTGGGAGTGTCGCCTAGAAACTGGAAGCATCCCATTTTTCTCAGCTGCTATGACCCCCAGTTCTCCAAACCTTTGTTTTTTGGTGGTGTCATGTTGCCTTTCTTGTTTTATCCCTTTCAGGCCCCTCCCCCCCCCCCCAAAGTGAAGAGGAAAATTACTCCTGAAGTACTAGTGGCATTGTATTCTCTCACTCTGTGGCTTCGTAGGGCCCTGCTTTAGTGTGGATTAGAATGCTGTCTGGTGCCCTGGGAGGAGGAGCTGTTCCAGTGTGTGGGATTTGCTTTAACAAAGTCAGAAGTTCTGCTGGGATTTCTGGCACTAGAATTAATCTTCCTCAACTAGAAATGTAGGTTAGCTCCTCTACTAATATATTTGACAGTTTTTTTCCCCCAAAGGAAAAAAACTTGGCACCTCCCAGACTTTCATATCTGTCGTTTAAGAAGAATTAAAATTGTTTAAATTTTTTATGGTTAGTGTTGCTGGCTCTGCTCAGTTAACCACTTTGTTGGTGTCCTTGGGTTGGAATCATCTAAACTGGAAGACATCTAAGATGCAGCAGCATGGATTCTGTCTTTCTTGTGTTTCTACCTCCTTTCTTTCTTTTTAAAAATAGATATAATTCACATACCATAGAATTCCACCCCTACACCCCCCACAGCTATTAGGGGTTGAATTTAGAGGTACTGTACCACTGAGCTACACCCCTAGGTACACCTTTTTATTTTGAAGTAGAGTCTTGCTAAGTTGCCCAGGTTGGCCTTGAACTTGCAGTCCTCCTGCCTCAGCCCCTCATGTGCCTCCACATCTGGCACAATTCACCCTTTTAAAGTATACTATTTAATAATTTTGTATAATTTTAAAGTTGTATAACCTCCGCTATTATCTTATTCTAACACATTGTTTTTGTTACCCCCAAAAGAAACCTTTACTCCATTAGCAGTCAGTCCTCATTCCTCCTCACCTACCGTCTGAACCACTAATTTCTTTTCTGTCTCTATTATGATGCCTATTTTAAACCTTAAAATTTTTTTTATAGTTGTAGTTGTACAATACCTTTTATTTATTTATTTATAAATGAATTTTAATATTTTTTTTTTTAGTTTTCGGCGGACACAACATCTTTCTTTGTATGTGGTGCTGAGGATCGAACCCGGGCCACACGCATGCCAGGCTAGCGCGCTACTGCTTGAGCCACATCCCCAGCCCCAATATTTTATTTATTTTTATGTGGTGCTGAGGATCGAACCCAGTGCCTTGCACATGCTAGGTGAGCGATCTACCATTGAGCCCCCACCCCAGCCAGCCCTATTTTAAACCTTTTATATAAATGAAATCATACAATATATATGGGCTTTTATCTGGCTTCTTTTGCCAAGCAAAATATTTTTATGGTCCATGTATATTGTAGCATATATCAGTACTACTTCTTTCCTGTTTTGTTTTTTTAATTTATTTTATACGTGGTGCATGAGAATCGAACCCAATGCCTCACACATGCTAGGCAAGCACTCTATTACTGAGCCACAACCCCAACCCCAGTACTTCTTTCCTTTTTATTGCCAAATAATATTGAGAGTGTAATACCACATTTTTTGTTTATCCACTCATCAGTCGCTGGACATTTGGGTTATTCCCACCTTCTGTGTTAGGAATAATGCTACTGTAAACATGCACACTTTTTTTCTGTGAACATGTGTTTTCAGTTCTGGGTATTTATCTAGAAGAGGAATTGCTGGTTCCTGTGGCCCTTCTGTTTTTATAAACACTTTGGAACTGCCAAACTGTTTCCCATGGCAGCTGCATCATCACATCTCCTCAGTGGTGCACATGGTGGAGCTCCTTTTTGCTTCTACTTTCCTCTGAACTGGCTCTGATCTGGCCTGGAGCCAACTCTAGGTTCAAGGAGTTCCGTGAGCCTTTTGTTTTATTAGATGGGAAAGCTTCCTGTTTTTTTTTTTTTTTTTTTTTTTTTTTTAATATTTATTTTTTTTTTAGTTTTCGGCAGACACAACATCTTTGTATGTGGTGCTGAGGATCGAACCCAGACCGCACGCATGCCAGGTGAGCGCGCAACCGCTTGAGCCACGTCCCCAGCCCAACTTCCTGTTTTCTCTGTTCGTCAGGTTCATTTCACAAGCATATGTGTACTGGGCATTATATGTTGGGTGTTAGTGATAGGAAGTCAAGGGTCAGAGTGCTTTCCTCTCAAGGACTTCATAGTCCAGTGGATCATAACTTTAAAATCTAGGTAAAGATTGACTTGTTTTGTTTAGTAGCTTCTGCGTTTTCATATTACCTTTTAACTATTGCTGTTCCTTGGGTGTTCATTGCTTGCATACTGGGCAAGCTCAGTTATATCCATAGCTTCATCTGTCACTTGTGCATTGATGTCTTTAAGATTTTCTCAGCTTTCTCCTGAGCTATCAAGTTTGTGTTTTGATAGACCTCTATTTGGATAATACATGGATATTCCAAGTTCAATGTAACTGAAAAATAACTCCTTATCTCCACTATACCTGTAATGGAAGTGTTCCTACTTTTGAGTTTGCAGTTTCATTTGTTGGCATTATTGTGTAAACCTTCACGACCACTAAGTCATCAAATTCTACAATTTTTTATCTCTTAAATGTTTCTTGCCTATTGGATTTACAGAACCATCTTTCACAGCTTTACGTCAGATTTCATCATCTCTTCCTTGGGCTTTATAACCCATCTTCTGTCTTGTCCATCAAATTAATCTTCCACCCAACTCTCTAAAGTGGCTATCTAATCAGCAACTTTGAACTTTAGGTGTTCGCTGTTTCTTACTTTAGTGCCATGCTGTCTTGATTGCTGCCCTCTCTTCCAGCCTTCCAGTAAGCTTAGACCATGGAATGATAGCAATAATAATTAATAGCAAACATTGTATGATGAGTATAGGTGGCATAGTAAATATTTAACATATATTAATTCATTCAGTCTCCATAGCAATTCTGTGAGGTAGGCACCAAAATTATTTCCTTGTAGATGAGGAAATGGAGATACAGAAGTTGTTACTCTTTCTAGGCCCCACAATGAGTGACTGTGTCCAGATTTGAACCCCAGTGATCTGATGCTTGGTTGTTCTCTGCTTCTCCTGTCTGCCCTTTCTTCGCTTTCCCCATTCCTTTGTCTTGTCCAACTACAAAGGATCCTCTCTGCTTCTGCAATAACTCATGGATGGGCTTGTGTTAATTTGCAACTTATAGGACAGAACTGGAGTGACATTTATTGTAAACACTTTGATCAAGAAGCCAGCGTTATAGATTATTTCAATACTAGCTCTTTTTTTTTTCACTGTTCTTTTTTGTCAAACCTGGGGATCGAACCCAGGGATGCTTTACCACTGAGCTACATCCCCAACCTTTCTTATTTTTTTATTTTGAGACAGAGTCTTACTAAGTTGGCTACACTGACTTTGAACTTGTCATCCTCCTGACAGTGTCCCAAGTTGCTGGGATGACAAGTGTGTGCTACTGAACCTGGCTCTTTTTCATATTCTTTAGGCGAGTTGGAAGTGACTACCTCCCTTATCTTGGTCTTTTTTTTTTTTTTTTAAGTTGTAGATGGATACAATAACTTATTTTATTTATTTATATATTTTTATGTGGTGCTGCAGAATAAACCCAGTGCCTCACACGTGCTAGACAAGTGCTGTCTCACTGAGCCACAGCCATAGCCTTATCTTGGTCGTATTCATCTCTATGAAGCCTGTCTTGAGTATCCAGTTTCATTTAGGCATTTTTCCTTTGCATTTCCATAGTATGTCGGATCCTCTATTGCTCTCATTCTTTATTATGACCATTTATATTCTTGTCTTTTCTCCCCTGCTTGACTCCCCTCTTGGGGATAGGGACTTTGACTTAGTACTTTACTTCAGACTTGCAGTATGTAGTGAGTATTCATTCTTGCTGGATGAACAGATAAATCTATTTGTGTTCTCATGTGGACTAGAGCGAGCAGTGGGATAGGAAGATTGTGATGAAGTGGACTGAAAGTGGAATGTGAGGCACAGTGTTCAAAGTGCTTTGGAGAAGGAAGCATTCAGAACTAGGCTGCCTGAATCTTATCCTGGCCCTGCCTGTTACTTGTGTGGCCTTTTGCAGCTATATCCTCATTTTACTGATTTGTAAAACCTGAATAATAATAGAATCTACATTATAGTTCTCTAAATGATAGAACTGGTCTGACCAAGATCATGCAATTAGGTCTCTGGTAATTGAGGAATAGGAATTCAGGGTTCCTGAATGGTCCTTGTAATAAACTGTTTTGTTTTTTTTTTAATGATGTTGTGGTTAACCTAGAGCCAGTTAAGAGGAAGCAACTCTGTTGAATTCTTTCACTTGTGCTAGCAAACTTTAAATACTGAGAAGGCAATAAAAGAAAAAGAAATTTTAAACTATATGCTGAACCAGCACCACGAATACTTCCACCCTACCCCACTTTGGAAAATTATGGCACAGCTTCTTGGAAACAAGAAAGATTCATTTGTTTTTCTATTCATTCCATACTGAGCTCTTATTGGATGTCATCCATATTCTACTAGAAACTGTCAACATAGTGATAAATAAGACAGTCAGTGTCCTTAAGGAATTTAGAATATAGAAGAGAAAACCAACACATAAACAGATTATTATTAAAAAGGGAAAAAAAGTAGTGTGATTAGCTTGTTCTTTCATTCATCCATTGATTCATTCACTCCTTAACATAGCAGCCAGGGAGATCTTTTTAAATGTGAGTTAGATCATGTCACTGTTTTCCTCACAATTCTCTAGTGACCCCCCATGTTTGCCAGCCTCAGAATGGCTTACAAGCCCCTCCCAGGTTGCCTGCTTTTCCAGACTGGATCCTCTGCTGCTTGCCTCCTTGTGGGGAACTTCTTGCTGATTATTGAGCAGTGAGGGGCCTGCTCCTCTCTCCCTCAAGCTGTGTCCACACAGCTTACTCTCACCTCTTTCATGTTTTAAGTTCAGTGTCCCCAAGGGAGGACTGGCTTTTCAGACCATGGGATAAGTTTGAGGGAATGCAGCTTGTCAGTAGCAGTTTGAGCTTTGGTTTTCCTTAGGATAGTTAAAATTTAGGAAAACATATTAGGAGTTGATCCTAGGAGTTGATTACATCTTAGAAATTTTGAGCATAGATTTTAGTAGCATTTTAAAGTCCTGTGGCTTAGTTTTAGTAAAAATGAAACAGCTCCAAAGGAGTTGGAAGTTACCACAAATTTAGTGACTTCAAACCACACATTAAGAGTTCTCAATTTCAGAATTATTGATGTTGACATTTTGGGGATTATAACTCTCTGTTGTGGGTCCTGTGTTTTGCATTATACCTTGTTTAACAACATCCCTGTGCTGTGCAAGGTAGTGTATACCTGTAATCACAGTGACTTGGGAGACTGAGGCAGGAAGATTGCAATTTTGGAGGCTAGTGAAACCCTGTCTTGGAACTAAAAATGGGCTGGGGATATAGCTTCAAGTACCTGGATTAAATTCCTAATACTGAAAAAAGAAAAGATATTCCATTCAACTAATGAATGAAGGTAGAAATAAAATTCTTTTAAAACAGTTTGAACTTGGGGAATTGATGAAGGATTTGCAGAGGTTGAGATACTTGAGTTGGACTTGGAAGATGGGGACAGTGTTAGAGGAGAAGGACACATCTCACAAAAAGGTCAATCTTTGCCAAAGGCCAGAATGTGGCAGGAGTTGTCCTGGAAGTCACGGATAGCCGGGAGGCGCAGGTGAGTGACACTGGATTGCAGAGAGCCTTACAGTGTTGTATGTGTAAGGTTTTAGTTTTGTTTTCACTTTCTCTTGCTGCATAAGAAGTTACCACAAACATAATCAGCTTAAATGGTATAAGATTTTGGTTTCACAGCAAGTTAGAAATCAAAGCTTTAGCTGGATTCCCTTCTCCTGCTCTCAAAGGGATGAAATTCAGGTGTTAGCTGGTTATGGATTCATCTTGGAGCTTAATTAGAAAAAGAACTTCCAGCCTGTCTCAGATGGTTATAAAATTCTTTACCTTGTGACTGTATGACTGAGGTGTCCCTTTTCTCACTAGTTCATGGTTAGGAACTATTCTCAGCTCTTACAAACTGCCCTCAGTCCTTGCCATGTATAGTTTTTTTTTTTTTTTTTTTAACATGACTCACTTCTTCAAGGATAATCTCTCTGTCTTTGAATGTCTCTTTTTTTCAGTTGGCTAAGATGGAGTCACAGTGGAATATCATCAAGACAGTGACTGTCCTATCATCTTTGCCATATTCTGTTGGCTATAAACAAGGAAGTTCCCATCCACACTCAAGAGGGGATAACACAGAGGGATAGATGTTGACACCAAGCGCAAGAAACTCTGGAGCTGTTTTAAAATTCTGTCTACCATATACACTTTCAGCACCATGAAGGCAGTGGCCAACTCTTTTTTTTTCCCCTCTTAGCACTCTTATCTCTGGTGTCCGACATATAGGAAGTGTTTTATGAATATTTGTCAAATGAAATCTCTGGATGAGAATTTGGCAGGCAGTCGAGTGCTATTTACAGTTTAAGTTCCTAAACCTGTAATTTCACATCGAAAAACATGTTGAATGATTTGACATTATTCATAATTTTTCTTTTAAAATTTTGGGTTTTTTAGTTGTAGTTGGACACAATACCTTTATTTTATTTTTATGTGGTGAGGCTCGAACCCAGCGCCCCACACATGATAGGTGAGCGCTCTACTGCTGAGCCACAACCCAGCCCCTTATTCATAATTTCACATCAAAAAAATGTATGAATAATTTGCCATTATTCATAGTCTTCACTTGAGGTAAAACTATAAACATTTTTACCTGAGTTATTAAAGTAAAACCCGAAATTGTTTATTTTCACAAGTGTCATTCAAACCTACTATTCCAGAGAGACAACACCCATTGAAAAATAATTTAGGGCTATATTGCATCAAACTGGCACTTTTCTTCTACAACTAGAGATGTTGGCAGGTTTGGAATTTTAGGGATGGTGTCTGAAGTTTCACAGTTATTGCTAGATAAAAAATGTTAT